TCAAGCGCAAAGTGTTTATTTGTAGAATTTTAAACTCTGGAAGCTTGGGGCGAGAGTTTTAAAAAGGAGGCTTGTGAGAGCATATTACCCAGTGTTTTAAGGTTCTTGAGAACTAGAAAACCAGGAGCTTCCATCATAAATTGTGAGTTCCATGTAATTTTTGCAAGTTATAAAAGAACTGTTCTTCCCCAGTCAGAAATGGAGCAAAATCCAAAGCTGGTAGAAATTAAGACCAAGCCTGCTTGTCTGAATTTTATAGCAAGTAAATGGATTGTGCCAGTTCATTACTCTTCATTCCCACTGCAGGTCCTAAACTCTGCAGCTGCCAAAGAAAAATATCCCATGTTCTCAGTTGTGGAAGGCTGCGCTCGGGAATATGGTTTGGAGGAGATGTGTGCCCACTTTGCCCACCAAACAGTGCAAGTTCAACGGCATAGTAAACGGAGCAGGACAAAGAAGCCCTCAGCTGAGGAATTTGTTGTCTTATGATTGCTGGCTAGCCAGACTCACCACCTCCTACTTATTTATTTTTTTATTTATGTAGAGAATGCAGGCTTGAAGCAGAGCTGCATCTCTAAGTCCAGGAAAGACAAGTTCTGGGTCACAGCTGTTGTCTCTGCTTCTCTGACCTGCTGAACCTCAGCTCTTCCTTATGGGAGACACTGCAAAAAGAAATTACCTTAGGGGGACCTATCCCTTACCTTTAGGCTGCTAACAGGTCATGACACTGGAATAAGCCTGCTGAATATAAGAAAAGGACATTTGGTACTAAAATGACAGCCTTGACCTTTTTTTGAGTTGAAGGGAACAGTCAGATGAGGATCATTAAGGAGACTATGGGTTAGCTTCAGATGTGTCTTTCCTACTGAGATGATGAGGACTCTTCAACAGCTGACACAGAGTGCCAGCCTGAAAACAAGAGCTTCCTTTTCACCAGTTCTAGATTTGTTTCATAAGCCCTTATAGGCCTTACCATCATCATAATAAGGATGATAAGGAACAGAACAGCATGGTCTGTTTTTAAGATATATTTTTGTGTATATGGAGGGAAGAGCCTGTGTTAATTTCAGCTAAAGGCTGAGGATTTCTCCAAACGATTCATTGCAGCAGCTGAATTGGGGAAAACAAGACAAGCATAGAGCCGAGTGGCTGATGATGTCTTGTGTTGGCTTGAATAAACAGTATTATTATAACATGGGTTCAAAGAACTGAAGGGCTTCCTGTCACATAGAGGTGAAGGAGTATTTCAAGTGGGCATCAGGTAAAATTAGTGTAACTTGTAGTGTCATCCTCTCAGGGCAAAGCCTTGCATACTGGTTGGATGTTGTTACAAAAGGCTGTTAGTCACCATTGGTGCACTTCATGCCAGATATGTTTGAATTCTCTCCATCCTCACCCAGTACTGTTACCAGAGTTCTTTCTCTTCCTTGTTACATTTTTCCCACTTGGAACTAGATTATCAATTTGGGCAGTTGGGCATATTGTATGCTCTCCTGCCTTTTGTCAGCTATGGCTTTTCATAATTTAGGTGTGGTGCAGACAGTCAGACCTGTCCTGTGGATACTGTGTTGGCAGTTTACAAGTTTACTGCAAAGAGATCCCTCCCTCCAGAGGCAACACCCCCTCTTTTAGTCAATAAAAGTTCTCTATGAAAATTGGCAAGCAAACTCTGTTTGTGTCTGGGAAACAATGCTCGTCTGGGGTCTTTTGTAGAATTATTAGCTTGAGATGGTCATACAGTTTATCCAGTGTATCCCATAAATACAGTCAGGTCCAGAAATATTGGGACACAATTCTAACATCTTTGGCTCTATACACCACCACAATGGATTT